AGGGACAGACACGACCCATCCTGCTGGCCTCACACCTCAGCCACTCAGCAGAGGGGAAACTGAGGCCCAAGAAGCAGTTGTCACCCGCCAGCCCACGCCCCGGCCTGCAGTTGTCACGCAGGACGAATTTGAGGGCACTGCCTGCGCTCGCTGGTCAGAAGGCAGAGGTGAGGTCTCAGACGAGAGGTGGAGAAGGAGCCTTAACCATGGGTGGGGGTGTTAGCCTCGCCAGACTCAGCCCTCCAGCTGGGCCGGAACCCTCTGGCCTGGCCGTGCCCCAGACACGAGGTGGCCCGTGGGTCCGGCCAGCTTTGCACGTGGCTCCCCGCCCTCCTGGCCGCAGAGGCAGCAGGGAGGCAGCCTGGAGCCGGGGTAGGGAGCCCTGTTCACCCTTCCCGGGCCTTCCACACAGACCTGTTTACCAGCAGGTAAACTAAGGCACAGAAAGGCAGCGTTGGCAGTGGACCTGCTCCTGAAACCTCACCGACAGAGCCCAGTCTCCGTCCCTGGGCACCTCCTAGAGGCCTGGGCTGGGCAGCACAGTCTTGGGGGCGGGGGTCTCCTGTGCATCAGAGACCCCGGCTCTGGCCACCTTGCTGCCTGTGGGGCCTCGGCACACAGCACTGCCAGGGTCCAGGTATTCACGGCTGTGCTGCGTGGTCGGGGTGGTGATTCAGGACCTTGGCAGCTGCAGCCTCTGAACATTCCGTCCACAGGGCTCTTGGCGTGACACACATCTTCAGAAGGGAGAGGAAAAACACGAGCGCCGCTCTCACTTGTTTGCCTAATTTAAAAGCATCTAGAAGCTTTTTTTTAGACAGGAAAAAGCACACACCCATGTGGAATGGAGCAGCCAAGAGAAAATGTAGACAGACACTCCTCCGGCTGACGTCCGCTCTTGGGGCTTTGCCCCACGTGGACAGCAGGGCTCATGCTGGCTCAGGGGCCAAGGAAATTGCTTGTCCTACAGGGGCCCAGCTGGGTGCGGTGGCGCACACCTATAATCCCAGCACTCAGGAAGCTGAGGCAGGAGGACCCGCTGAAAGTTCAAGGCCAGCGTGAGCTACACAGTGAGAGCCTATCTCAAAAAATTTAAAAGTACAGGATCTAAAGGGGACCTCACAGGGTGCCAGAGTCTCACGGGTCTCAGCAATTCTGGCATTTCCTGAGCGGCTACTCTGTAACTTTGGCAGCTCTGTGTGTCTCCGTCCCGGCACCTTCCTACACGCCGTCCACCCCTCAGGGCTGCCCTGGTCCGCCTGTGGGGCTGCACCGAGATCCCATGGACGTTTTCACAGTGGGCACTCGTGATGTGGGCAGTGGCCCTGCCGGCTGGTCCTCTTCTGTCCTCTGCCCTCGCCTTGGGCAGGGACAGCCGTGCCTCAGCCTGCCCACCGCACCCAGCCTCTCCATGGCAGGACTGCGGGCGGTGGCTGCAGAGTAGGGCACCTGCCTCGAGGGCCCTCTGTGCTTTCCCAGTCCTCCCACACAGATCCTGCACCAGTGGGAAACTGAGGCTGAGACCAGCACTGGTGCTGAACCCGCAGCACAGTTCTTCCTGGGCGTCAAGCGGTCGTTCCTGGGACAGCATCTTCCTGGGCTCCGTCTGTGGCCGGAGTGGCTCCAGATGGCTTTTTGCGTACGAGGCTTTCGTGACCTGGCTCCAGCCTGCTTCTCATCCCTGTGCTGTCCTCTTTCCATGTGATGAGTGTAGTTTTGGTTTTGGGTTTTTGAGAGGCTCTCACTGTGTAGCCCAGGCTGGCCTCGAACTTGTGGCCTCCTGAGTGCTCGGCTGTGAGGACCACTCTGGGGGACGGTCCCCAAGGAGGTGCGTGGGACCGAGAATCTCAGTTACAGGCCAGGAGAGGGTGGCAGGGGTCACCAGTGCCCCTCACGGTCCCCACGCCCCCCATTTCCACGCCGCCCGCACTGGGCTCTTAAGCAAATCCGAGACCCCGCTCCTGTGAAAACACCGCTGTGTTTCCGAGGGTGAGCAGCAGCAGAGGCCTGTGCCTGTTGTTTGGAGGTTCCAGGTTTGCAGGGGAAATGTCCATACAGGACGGCGCCATCGGAGGCTTGGTTTCAGTGTTCACATCTGATAAACCAGTGTTCTGCACACACACTCACACTCACACCACTCACACGTGACCATGACTGTGTCCACCCCTACACCTGGAGCCATTGCCAGCCCTGCCCTCCCTGATCACCCAACCCCTGGAAAGTGTGATCAGCGTCCAGCCATCGCCGGAGGCCCCCGAGGAGAGGCCGTGTGATTGCCACGTGAAGCATCATCTGGGTTGGAAAGGGGGCTCCCACCTAGAGACAAAGCCGGAACCCAGCTATCAGGAAAAGTAAATCATGTGAGGCGCAATGGCGCACACCTGAGATCCCAGCCCCTTAAGAGGCTGAGGCGGGAGAGTCACAAGTTCAAAGCCAACCTGGGCAATTCAGTGAGAACTTGCCTCCAAAACTGAAAAGAGCTGGGGATGTAGATCAGGGACTGAGCACCCCGGGTTCCATCCCAGCACCTCAAAAAAAAAAGCAAAAGAAAATTGTGATGGAAAGCTCAGGACATTTGAATTCTGCAGCAGCTCCCGTGGGGGTTAGTGTGGCCGTCCAGCCCCTCCCAGAGCCCCGTGTCACCGGGGTGTCATCTGCACCCTGAGCGTGGCCCCGGAGAGCCTCCAGGAGAGGTCAGGCACCACGTGCCGTGCCACAAACCCAGCAGGGCGAGGAGCGGGGGAGAGGGGCATCCCCCCGTGTCGTGTGCTCTGAGCATCCGCTTGTCGGGGAAGCAGGAAGCTTGGAGTTGGGAAGGCTCGCCTCTCCGCTGGGCAGGCTTCGCTGCGTCACCCTACACTCGCCAGCGTACTTCCCGACAGGCTGGGGGAGGACATGGCACAGGGCTCCAGGGTGCCACAGGGCTCCAGGGTGCCACAGGGCGGCAGCCTCGGGCCACCAGGGCCACCACAGCCTGCACCATGGACCCTCCAGGACCTGGGCTACTGCAGGTGAGGAGGGCAGGTGCACCAGGAGGACAGGGCCACCAGCGGAGAGTGTGGTGTGAGGCCAGGAGTGGGGCGCCGGGGGGGCTCTGCAGCAGGAGGAAGAAGCAAAGCTCCCAAGTGAAGCAAGCTCACAGACAAATACGCACTGACCAGCGAGATAGGAGAGGATGACAGCAGGGACCTGGGCAGGGACAGGAAGACTGAGAGCCCAGGCATGTCTAGGAGTTGGCCGAATGAACAGAACAAGGGCGATGTCTCAGACAGCGAGGATGGCACCTGCGAAGGCCCTGCGGCCGCCAGGTGCAGAGCCAACATCAGAGCTGGGAAGGAAGCCAAGAGGCCAAACAGAGGCTGCAGGAGCTGGGAGACGGGGCCGGCAGAGGCCGGGCTCGGTCCCATAGCGGCCTGACACATGTGGTCTGAGCGCACTCTGCTCCTGGAGAGGCGTCATATAGCTGTGTCACAAGACGGAAGGCTTAGGATGGACACTGCAAGGTCATCCCCTCCTGCCCACCTCGTGGTGAGAGTTCCTTTGTGCGTGGGCTTAAAGCTCCAAGCAGGGGCTGCAGGGGCCTCTCCCAGCCCAGGCGCTGGCACAGCCTGGGGACACCATCCCTTCAGAGCCGACCCGCCGGGCCGCGCTCCCACCAGGCCCCAGCCCCCTCCATGCCTCCTCCCTTCCTCTCCCTCCCATGACACCTTTGATGTCACCCTCCCACCCTCGTCACCGCCCTGTGACCAGAGGGAAGGGGGCGCTGCCTGCCCCTGCCCGCCCCTGGGCCCCCAGCGTCGCCCCTACCTCTCCCCAGGGCCTGGCTCCTCTGGGCCGACCCAGGTCTCAGGGCCCCCCGCCAGTTTGGCAGGGATCCACCTCAAGGGTGAGGAAAGCCACGGGAGACGGGTCACAGGGTCAGCCTGGCACTGGCCGGCCCGAGTGTGGCGTGGGTGTGGGGGTGAGCTGGCCCTCCGGCCTCGCGTCCACACCATGCCGCCCCACGTAGTTGGGTCCTAAAGGGCCTGCTGGGCTCTACCCGTCCATGCCGGCTACATCCAGGGACAGGTGTAGCGCTGGGACACAGGTGGGCCTGGTGGGTGGATGTGCCAGGCAGTGCCAGGCGGGAGCGAGGTGGTGGCCCTGGCAGAACCCGAGCCGCCCACCCTTGCAAGAGTCTCGGAGGAAGCCCACCTCCTCCTGCCTCGTCAGACAGCAAGCCCTGGCTACATGGCAACACGTGCAGGCCATGGCAGCCCCCGGTCAGGACCAGATGCCTGGGTCCACGCTCCACCTCAGGAGCGTGGGGGAACCTCCAGGGCGGGATGCCCAGTGCTCCAGTCAGGAGCTGAGTAGGAGTCTGGTCCAGGGCGCATCTGGACGGAGACCCTTCTGACTCAGCCTCCTGAGGGAGCATTCCACAGGAAGCTCAGCCTTCGCCTTATCCGGACAGCAATCTGTTTGCCAAGATCCATGTCCCGCCACCGAGGATGCCAGGCCTGTCGTGCCGAGAGCTGAGCTGAACTCTGGCACATCCCGGGGCCTGTGATCTCACGCCAGGGCCTCGGAGAGCCGTCCCGCCCGGCCAGCCCAGGGGAGCTAAATACGAGCATTGCTGGGGAGGGGAGAGGGAATCGCCAAGGGCTGCTGCAGGCCCTGTGACCTCCTGTGCCCAGCGTGGAGATGGGAGCAGCCTGTGAGCGCCTCGGATGGGGCTGTGCGGAGGGAGCAGGGGCCCTGGAGCGCTAGCATTGCGCTGCTGCCCAGCGCCTGGTGCGAGCTCCTCCGCGCTCTCTGCGTCCCTGTCCCCTCCCCTGCTCGGGGAGGCGTCTTCGTTTTCTCTTGCTGCCCTTTCAGATCACACAAGCTCTGTGTCGGGAGTGGACCCTTCTCCCGCCTTCTGCGGCCTGCAGGGTCTGCAGGGCTGGGTCAAGGCACCCACAGCTGTGACTCCCCCGGGTGCAGCAGCGCCAGCTAACGGGGTCCTCTCTGTCTTCCAGCTCACAGCTCCGCACTTCCCCATGGTGGTCAAGCTGGGACACGCACACGCCGGGATGGGAAAGGTAGGAGAAGGCGCCCCTGACTCTCCCCAGCTCAAGGGACGCCAGACGGTGGGTCCTGTGCTCCCTGCGGCGCTGGCTTAAGAGGGAAAGCATTACGCAGACCGCACTTCTCCGTCACCTGTGGGGCAGGCAGTGACACAGTGACAAACGTAGTGACCGTGGCTGGAGCCGGCCAGCCCCTGCCCCAACTCCAGACTCTGCTCTCAGACTCCACTGCAGGCTGAACCCCACTCCAGTCAGGGAGAGAAGTGGGTCGGGGTGCGCTCAGGCTGGGCCTGTGAGAGCTCCTGGAGGCTTTGGGCCCAGCTGTCCCTTTGGCTCCTGGTTCTGGTTTTGCCTGGCCTCATGGAGCTCGCTGGCTCCTGTGTGCCAAGGACAGAGCTGCCACAATGGGAAATGGCAGAGGGGGCTCCGTCCTCTCCCAGCCGCCGCCCACACAGGGCCAAGTGAGACCGTGCAGCCCTCGGTGCCTGCTGTCCCCACAGAGGGACCTGGGCCCACACCGCCTGGCCCAGGGAGCTGGGTGAGGAGTGGACTGCCACACACTCGCACCTCACACCCTCCTATCGCCGCTGCCCCTGCACCCTGCCCGGGACAAGGCTGTGATGAGTACCGTCCCAGGGCAGACCCGGCGTGAGGTCAGGGATCCCACCAAAGCCCGGCTGGCTGAGCAGGTGTAGGGTGGACCCCACTTTGGACATCGAGTCCCCCACGGCCCAGCCCTCCTGTGGTCCCCAGTGGTCCCACGGCTAGCCCAGCCAGCTCGCTTCTGTCGTGCATTGGCCTCTGGGTCACTTGGGGCCACTTCAGTCCCCAGACTCTCCCACGGTGGCTGCACTTCGAGGCCCTGACCTGGCTTTCGTCCCCACCTTCTCCGGGGCCTTTGCATCTCTTGCTGGACTTCGTCCCTGTGTCCCTCTAACCACGGCCGCATGAGTGCTCACCCATGCTGGTGTCCCCACAGGGCGTTCTCCACCCAGGCAGCCAGGCTGTCACCTGCAGTCCCCTCAGTCCCCGCCTGGCCCCTGTGGACACTGCCTGAAACACCTGGTCTCCTCCTCCTCTGACCCTATCTGCTGCAGGAACCAGCTCCTCGGCTGTCACAAAACAGAGCACAGAGGGCTCGTGGCTCAGGGACCAAGTGCTTGCCAGGCATGCAGGAGATGCTGTAAAAACCAATGCCAGCTCCAGAGCCCAGAGCCCCCTGCTCTGTGTGCAGACGCCAGGGTCACTGCTGCTGTTTCTCGGACTTGTCCGTTCTCTCTGCCCTGCCACCATCTCTGGTGGTGCTGGCTCCAAGAAACCTGTCCCTAAAGCTTGCGATAATCCTAACAAGAAACATAAAAACGATGTGAGGCAACACGAGGCGGGCTCTGAAGCCTGGGCCAGAGGGGCTCCCACAGCGGGCCGGAGGGCACCGGCCAGAACCAACTCAAATTTGCAGAAGCACTGAGCTCAGGGCGAGACCTCTGTCCTCGTGTTCAGAAAGAGGGGACCTGCAGGGGTGGCGTGCACACACTGACAGGCAAACAGTTTCCTGGCCGTGGCCGAGGGGGACACCGGGCTCCCATGGTCCCTGCACCTCCTCTAAGGGCACGAGGGTCATCGAGACAGCGGGGAGAATGTCCCAGAAAAAACCTGGAAGGAGCCTCCGGAGTACAGCGCCTCCCACCCAGCCCAGCATCACCAGCCCCAAGCCACGAAGCCCACCGGAGTTCACGTCACTTCCTCTGGTGAAGGTGTGTGCAAGTAGGGCCCGCGGGGCAGAGGCGGTGACAGTCGGACTCCCAGGGTGCAGCCGTCCCTCCCCTCGCTCATCTGTGTCCACAACCCCACCGAGCTCGTGTCACAAGGGTTGACGGACACAGTAACAGCCAGGCCGTGGGTTCCCAGACTCCGGTGACAAAGAGACAGCGGAGCCGCATGGGGTCATCATGAACACTGCCACGTCTAGCATTGGGCACTTGGACATTTGCAGGTTCAGTATTCAGGGGATCAGCGCTGAAACCAGCAGCCCACAGGAGCGGAGAGACAAATGCACACTCCAAAAAGCCCAGCTATCCCGCATCACCTAGTGTGGTCAGATAGATCTGAGAAATCGTGTAGAGGGAGTTTTGGTGCAGAACTCCTCAGTCATACCTTTGTTCATATGCATTGGGGAGGGGAACAAAAACAGGGAAAGGTTGTGAAAACTCTTGGATTTGTCTAATTGCAGAAGCCTACGACTTTTTCCCTGAGATGGCTGCGCTTTTATTAGTTGGCAAAACCTCTTCGGTATTGAAAAGTTTCCTGTTTTCCAACTGTTTCCCCTCATGACGCTCGCGCGTCTGCTCCACCTCTGCGTTTGTCCAATGCTTTCTGTCCCCGCGGTGGCGGGTTCCAGCAGCTGGGTGCGTGGACCGGAGCCGAGACCTACCCTGGTTAGCTGCACACCCGGAGGTGAGCCCAGCCCTGCTCGGCCCCTCTGCAAGGAGGCAGAGACCGTGGTGTCACCTCCCCGGGAGCCGGGCACTCAGCTCCGCGCCCGGGCACTGGGCACGCGGGAATACTACTTGTCGTCACAATTGCGACGGTGTGGCCCAGCCCTGGGGACCCAAAACCTAGGCGAAGTCAGTGGGAGGGAGATGGCTGACTCAGACGGCAGACGGCTCCTTTCACTCGCTGCATGTGAGCCATGAGTCAGAGGGGCATCAGTTGCCAAAAGCACTAATAAACAAGCGCGGATAAATAGATGAAAATGAGCTCAACTTTACGGGCTCACAAGGGAATGCAAATGAGAAGCACAGCGAGGTGCACCGTACAACACCAGAACAGCTACAACTGACGGGACAGCTCGTGCAGCACAAATGCATACGCCTAGTGAAAGTGTGAACTGGCACACTTCTCTTGCTGGTTACACAGGAGTTCTTCGAAGTGTGCCAAGCTAAATACATGCATGTGTGTGACAAAGCGCTTGTTAGTGATCGTTCTAGTCACAATTTCCAAAAGTAATGCATCGTTAACAATGGAATTGATAGAGTACATTCATGCCAACGAGTGTTTTCAGCAATGAAAAAGGACTAAATTGTACAATGCCAGTGAGTCTCACAAATGCAGCACTGAGCGGGGTACATGAGATGTCAGACAATGCGTGTTTCTAAAATTCCACCAATGCAACATTCAAAACCAGGGACTGATAGCGTTACCTGGGATACATACTTACAGAGTATAGCTTTCAGGAAACACAGAAAGAGCCGGTTTGGGGAGAGTGGGGTCCCCAGAGGTGAGGCAGGAGTGCCGGTTCTCACTCCTGACCGGGGTGGGGCCGGGAAGACGTCCACTGCTGATGTCCCAGCACTTGACCCTTCTGATTCATGCATCTCCCTGACTGTGTTCTGTTTCACAATCAGCTGAGGGTGAAAGCCGGAGTGCACACCTGGGACGTGCTCATGGGGAGGTGACACACGCCGGGCCAGGGCCAGAGCCTGGGTTCAGGGTGGGCTGGTCCCCGTGCTGAGCACCTGACAGGGACAGAGACAGACTGGCGAGCCAGGAAGGGGTCAGCTCGCCGGGAGGGCCAGGCCGCGGGGGCCACAGGACCGTGGGAGGGCGAGGGGACTGACCATCTCCACACCCAGCGTGCAGGGACCGCTGGGCAGGGTGCAGAGCTGCCTGTGACTGCGTGGAGAACGCAGCTCCTGGGCAAAGTGCACGGCGCGAGGGTCTGGCCCCAGCCCTTTGAGCCCCGGTTCTTTGTAGTTCCTTTCAGTTCTTAAGTCTGTGTGGTCCATCTTGCAGTTCATAGCATTTACATCCTTGGCGTGGGGGGGCGCACGTGCCCACGCATCTCGAGGTTCCTTTATCGTCCCCTCCCCTCCCTCCCTCCCCATGTCCCATTACCTATCTTTTACTTTGTTCTTTACTTATGATCTGTGTTCCTCGGGTAGGAGAAGCCATGAAGTACTTAAGCTTGTGTGTCTGGTTTGCTTCACTTACCATTACGGTCTCAAGGTGCTTCCATTTTCCTGAAGATGACTCCTGCTTGTCCTTCTTTATGGCAGAGTAGTGCTCCACGGAGTGTAAATACCACATTGTCTTTATCCGTTCCTCTGCAGGTGGACGGACACTTAGGCTGCTTCTAAGATGGAGCTCGTACGAGCTGTGCTGCTATAAACATGGGTGTGCATGGGGCCCTTAATCGATGTCTTTAACTCTTTGGGAAGATGCCAAGACAGCTGGGCCAAATGGAATTCCTAGTTTTAGCTTTTTGAGGACTCTGCTGATTTCCATAGTGATTGTACTAGCTTACACTCCCACCAGCAGCGAGGAAGAAGGGTTCCCTTGTCTCTGCAGCCTCCCCAGCCTTTGTTATGTGATTTCTTCTGATGGCCATTCCTTCTGGGGTGAGATGGAATCTCAGCATTGTTTTAATTTGCATTTCTCTGCTGGCCAGTGATACTGAGCATTTTGTCATGTGTTAATTGATCATTTGTATTTCTTCTTGCCCATGTTTTGATGGGGTGTTCTGTGGGGTAGAGTCTAATTTTTCGGGTTCTCTGTATGTTTTTGATGTCAGCCCCCTGTGTGAGGAGGCTGGTGCGGCCCCCTTTCTGTAGCCCTCTCTTCCCTCTGTCATGGACCCCTGATGCTGACAAGTGCAGGAGGGCGCGTGTGGCAGGGGCGGAACCACTCCGGGGCTGGGTTGAAGGCCTGGCCTCTGCAGGTCCTGGGCCCGTCTCTCAGGGCACCATGGAGAGGACCCCGGCCGGCCTCCCTGAGAGGAGACGCTGGGCAGCCTGGACGGGATCACGCAGTGGCCCGTAGGGAAGTGAAGTCCGCGGCTGAGTGCCGGGCCAGTGAGGAGCTGTGTTTGTGGGATCTGGGCCGAGTCCAGGTCTGCCGTGTGCTGGTTCTGTGTCCTTGGCAAGGTGTTTGCTCTCCCTGGACCTCGATGTCCTCATCTCTGGGGACAGAAATGCCCTCCCAAGGCTGCAGCGGTGACCGAGGCCTCAGTCCTGACC